TYMRTTGGTCTGAAAAAAACCCACATACCCCCTAGCAACAAATCAGAGTTAAAACTTGGACCTATCACCACTTGATTGCTTATGTTTTCCTGCACCTAGGGATTTTCACATAACTACTTTGTTTTTGGTGATATAACATTTGCTTGATCCTTGTATATATAATATACATGTGCTCATTCCTTACCCCCTGTGGCAAGCAGGTCATCAAATATGACAACTTTCTGGCCTTTCTGAATACCATCAACTTGCATTTCAAGAAGATCCTGAAAATGAAAACTGATAATCACACCAATTTTCATAATTATATTAATTTTGTTGGATGTCAATTCCTCAATTATAGGGAAATAATAATCTTTTTAGGACAAGTTTGTTTAGTTTATAGCAAGACTCCTACAAACTCGTATGATGAAATAGCAACTCACTATTGATGGTCCTTGTTTTTTTTCCTTTCTTTTTCCTTAATGTTTCTAACACATGGATTAGTCCTGACAGTTATGAGCAACATGGCTTACAACAACCTTTGACCACACACATTAAAATTTCTGTTTTTATAATTCTCACTTTGCCATATTCCTTAGTTGATGAAACCTTCATTGTTGGCCCGGGTAATTTCCCAGATTTGCGGACTGGGACAAAAGGTAAATTTAGATTTAGTGACAAAATAGGTCCAAATAAAAATCCTCTGGCATCAAGACCTGCAAAACACACAGCAAAAATCATGAAAAGATAAACAGGAAAAAAAACTTTGATTCCATTTATGAGAGCACCACAAAATCTAAACATACTAGCATACAGGTTCCCTTTTGTTCTCATCTGCATATAAACCAGGATTGAGGGAAATGACACAACATTACAAAGACTAAACTTTTAACTGCAAAAAATACTAAAATATCAATTTTTTTATTTTAAGTTAGCTGGATGCAATTATTTGTTTTGCTAAAGGACCATGAGGCTTGACAAGTTTCAAGTAGGCCTCTAAATGAAACGATCAAAATTACAAAAATTACCAAAATTAAAACAAATCCCTTATGATAACAGAGCAGCATTCTGTGAAATTTACATCAGAATCTGCTTTCAACCTTAGATATTGAGGTAAAGTCTGTTTTTGTGCCAAGTGGCCCATCAGGCAGGCCCTTAACTCCCATTTCCATAGGATGAAGGAGTATTTCTACTCCCCCCCCTAGGTGGGATGCTAGTCTATCCCAAGGTTACCCCAAGTGTTAAATTCCCCAGCACCCATGTACTGGGGAGAGTAAAGTGTCTTGCCTAAGAACACAGATATTAGATATTGGTGTTCTCTTAAAAGGCTTACTCATCTCAGTGTATGTCTGAAAGACAATAGGCCATTTTACAGTTGTGTACTTAGTTGCCAAGCCTTTGATTCAAAGTGAGGCTTAAGGTGTTGTGATAGAGACCAGTATCTAGTTAGCATGATAACAAACTGATTCACATTTCAAAAGCAGCCAGGTTTGTATCATAACAAGGTCACCTCTAGCCTCACTCCTCTTCAAAAGCTTGGCAACTAAGTACACAACTGTAAAATGGACTATTCACAATCATAGAATCCACTATTGAGATGCAATGAATATATGAAGTTCATATATTTTGAACTGCGGTATTAGATA